ATAAATGATGCTGTGAGCCACATGTTTCAGGATTTTGAATGCTCAGGAAGAATTCTTACAGTGTGATTATGGAAACAACCAATTTCCATAAGTGAAAATGAGCATGCTTATTAATGGGGCTGCATTTGCCTCTTGCATTCAATCACATTTATAACCAGCAAGGAGAATGAATGTTTTGCGTGATTTAGTGTTTACACAATTGCAGTTGCATGGCAAAGCTTGCTGTATTAGAGGCTTTGGAAAGAAGCATATGTGGTCCTTTTGCAGGTAATAAAATGGAAAATCCAATTTGCAATTGCAGAATAAGCCTCTGAGTGATATACGATCTTCATAGCAGCATCGGTCAGAGGGTCACTGCTAATCACGACGCTGCCTGGCTTCCCCAGTGGCCTGCGCCTTCTGACTGAGGAGTGAGCAGAGTGAATCTGTGTCTGGGAGCCAGCCAGCGTGTCTGCAGATGCACCACTTTCTAGCTTATTAGATCCTCTTTGTCACAGTGCTTAATCCTGCTGCCTGATCCTTGTTAGAACACCACCAGAGCGCCGCTCAGCCTTCTAATAAAGGGGATGGGTGAGGGCTCCTAACCCAACGCACTGAAGCGTGCAGCGTCAGGGCGATTACAGGCTGACTGACAGCGGGGTGAGATGCTTCCTGCATGTTATTACTTAAAAGGGAACCTACCTCCGACAGCTGACAGACGAGCTCTGCTGAGGCAATGGTAACTTGTTGCTAGGCCAATATGAGTCGGGTGTCATCTTTTCACACAGTATAATGGCCAGCTTTACTCTAATTATATTAACCCTCTTCTGAAATTGCTTCATCCCCGACTGGTTCGGAGTGAGGCAAGAGAACCAAGAGACAAATCACTTGCTGGGAGGATTGCAGCGCTACGGAAACAGGTATTGTGTTATCCACTGGTGACGTTAAGTTGAAAAACAAAGCAAGCCTGCCCTATCACAGCAAGTTCCGGTTCTAACTCCGAAGAGACACTGCTCCCTTTGGCTCGCACAGTTTCCATCTCATTTATAATAGTTTCTTCCTTTAAGATTTGCCATGGACATTATAGCTGGTTTTCATGGCTCTTTGTTAAAAAAGAAAGAACAACATCAAACAAGATGCTTTTTTCTTTTCTCGTTTTTCCTCAGTGAACCCGAATCATTCTTTTCTGTTAGGCTCCGATGTTCATGTAGCTTTATGAGGCACTTGTGAATTTCATTTAGTAGCATTGCTTGTTCCTGAAGTAAGGAAATGAGGGTGGAGAGGGCAAACCAGTCATCTGTCCCTGCTTTCCCACTCCCATCCCAACTAAAATGTGCAGATGGGTTGAAAGTGATATAAGTGAAGATGATCACAAATAACCTATGGTCCTTTCTGTTAACGGTGACTTGCAGACATCAGCGTGTGACTTCTTTTCCCTGAAGGGAGTATGTTTAGCTCGCATCCAGTGTCTCCTCTGTGCTCCAGTTAGCAGCCGTCATTAGCAATCTGTGATGCCTCTGCTGTCTCCACTGACAGCGCCTAAATAGAGACATCACTTGGGATTGACAGATCTCCAGGGGGCTGCAGACTTCAGACAAAAGGGCCCAGGGAACATGGCTGACCTTTCTTGGCATTATTCCCCTTCCATGAGTGGCAGTCAGGGAGCATAGAACTCCAGTACATGATTTTCTGAGGATTACCACTGAAAAGACTGCACACTTAGTAAGATGCTCTTAATAAGTTAACAAGAGGCTGCGTGGGTTCCAGAGTGGGTTTGCGGGCCATTGGTAGTAACACAGGCGCTTCTTTCCCACAGATATATATACTTATTCCTTAAGTTCAAGGATGGATCTTTAAAACTGGCTTTGCCGATAACATACCTTCGGTTTCGGATGATTGGGGCAGGGCTTGAGACTCGGCAGAAGGCAGCTTGTGGTGCAGGCGGGAAAAGAAGAGTCTGTTCTTCTCCCTACCCCATGCAAGTCATCCAAGGGCAAATTTGGAATAGCTGAGGCTTGTCTGTGTCGTCCTTCCTGGACCCTTTCCCTGCTTCACATTGTTCTCATGCTGCTGGTCAAGGGCCCTGAAAATACAGTGTGGTGAGAAATGCTCTGTGTCCAAATGTAGCTGACTTTACTCCTCTTCTCTCTCTTACCAAAGTAAAAAAAAAAAAAAAAAAAAATACGTGTTCCTGCAATTCCCCTCTGAACCAGATGTTAAAAGCAAAGCAGTTGTGTAAATGCAAAAACTGTGGATGCTTCTTCAACAGAATAAAATTCTACCACCTAGAAGTGCCAAATATATTTTTCATTGGGATAGCCAGTTTTCAGGAAGAAGAAAAGATATTTAGGGCAAAATACTCACTACCAGTTGAATCCCATTAGCTTAGGAATTCATTTCTGTCCTATTCCATAAATACGCAATTTATGCTTTTCATGGCTTCTGCTGCTGCTTTTCTCATCCAGTTTGCAATACACGTCTTTTTTCTTCTTTTCTTTTCTTTTTCTTTTAGACAGAGTCGTGCTCTGTTCCCCAGCCTGCAGTGCGGTGGCGCCATCTCGGCTCATGGCAGCCTCTGCCTCCCTGGTTCGAGCAGTTCTCCAGTCTCATGTTCCTAAGTGGCTGGGACTACAGGCGCGCACCACTGCACTCTGCTAATTTTTGTATTTTTAGCAGTGATGGGGTTTTGCCATGTTGGCCAGACTGGTCTCGAACTCCTGACCTCAAGTGATCCACCCACTTCGGCCTCCCAAAGCGCTGGGATTATAGGCATGAGCCACTGCGCCTGGCCAAGAATGCATGTGTTTTTTCCAGACACCTCAAATTAATTTTCTTCATAGTTGATTCCATACTGATGTCTGTGGGCAGAGATTAGAGACAGGAAGATGACAAGAGGTAAGCATAGGTTGTTTCTCAGGTGAATGTTTAAAGAGAGACGGGTTGCACCCTGGCACTGCCATCCCCAACCGATAAGTGCATTGCTGCACGGTGGTCACTGTTGTCTGGTTTGTAATCCCTTCCCTTAGTTGCCCCGCCTCCTAAGCATGATGGGCAACTTACCATTGTGCACATAAAATATGACACATCAGAAACAAACTTGTTTGTAAATGGATGGCTTCTTTCCAGAAATGTATATTATATTCATTTTTAGGAAAAGGGAAGATTGGAGAAAAGGAATTCATGAAGGAATTATATGTAAGACAAGATATATCGAATGTAGCAAATGAGATTTTAAGAGGAAATGAGAATTATAGAGAAAAGTAAACAAGAGGTCAGTTTCATTGTTGGGACTCTTAAAAACTGTCTCCCTACGTAAAGATAAAAAACAAATATCGATGGCAGCCCCTTCCCAACAAGATCAAACCCAGGTGAGAGACTCAGCTAAGCAGAATGCATACCACCCCTGGGTTTTCATTTGCCCTCGGCAGCTTTCTGAGTCATGGTTTAGAGAATCAAGCTCACTAATTTCCCAAGTGACTTAATATCTGACTAAATGTTTAAGCATTAAGATGAGGAAATTGACAATATTGATAATCTTGGAGAGAAATGGTTCTGCTTATTTTTATACCGAGGGCCGACAAATTCTTTGTAGCTTTGGAAAGATGAATTACTCTCTCTTAATATTTAGTAGTATCTATTTTCTTTAAAAAGATTTTGTGAAATTGTGGTCATTTTTCTTTTTCTTTGTTTTTCTGAATTGTTGAAGTTCATATAGAAAAAGAAAGATTCAAATTATCTATTATTTTGTTTTAAGAAGCAATATTGGATTATCTTCCTCATAAAAAAGTGTCATTTATCCTTTCATTTTCAAAGCTCAGATCAGCTGGGAAGTTACTTGCTTTATGCTACACTTGCATCCCAGAATATGTTTTCATTGTCCTGAGTTACCACTGTGAAAACATAGACAGTAGATCCTTGGAACAGCACGTGACTTTGGTTGTGTCTTAGAATCATTGCTGTATCTCTAGGTTTAAACAGTCCCAGGCTGTGGACAAGAAGTCTCAAAATTGATTTCTTCCATAGGACTTTTAGGGACAGAGCTTCGCATACATCCCTGCTTCCTAACTTCTCTTTCTGTTTCTCGCTTGCCTAGGCGAGTGCATTTTAGGAAGTTCTTTCACACATTGCCTTTTCCATTTTTGAATATATATTAAAAAAAACAAACAAACCAGAGTTTACTGGTCATCAACAGAGGTGATCCAGACGAAGGGTACTTGCTGGCTCTTTTTAGGCTACCTTCATTAACTCAACCTTATCTAGACTGATCTGTGCCCTGATGACCTCAGCAGACACTGTAGAAGGAATATGAGATTGGGGGTCAGGTTGAAATCTTCACGCTGGCTTTGTCTTGGGTGCAGTAGTTAATTTCCTTAAGTTTCCATTTCTTCACCTATAAAATAATACTAATATCTGACCTTAGGGATTGCAGGAGAATGAAATGAGGAAATGATTTTAAATGGTAATTTATAAACTGATCAGAGCTAAACAAATGTTACTCTTTATCACTACTGTGTTAATGAGATTGATTTAGGGCTGATTCCTAGATGTGCCTTTGCTCTTATACTTGAGTAATGCAACAGTTTGACTTGGGTAATATCCCTGTCTTTCTCCATTCACATGCTATCTTGATTGATGAAAAAAGTGATGTTGATCAGATTGGGCTTAGATCAGACAGGACGAGGCGTGATGCGTACTGACATTGTCAGGATAGAATTTCAGGTGGTTTTCATATTATCACTTCTCTTAATCGTGAAAAAGTCATTTTTGTCTTGCGGCAAATACCTCCTTCCCTCTACTTCTTTTTCCGTCTGCCTTCTTTCTTCCTTCCTTTGTTCTTAATTTCCTGGGCCAAGGTACTGTCATGACAGTATACCTGTGATGACTTGGGATAAGAAATTAAAAAGACATCAGATGATCCAAAAGGTACTTAAGGTTGGCTGTGATTATTGAGAAGGACTTCTTAGACCTGATCTGTTTTGGATGAAGTGACCTTCACCTTTTTTTTTTCTTCATCTTTTCAGGAAACTTGGATTTAACTGGTCAGAAGCAGGTATTCAAAGCCGAGAACAATCCCTGGGTGACCCCCATTGCCGACCAGTTTCAGCTTGGAGTGTCCCATGTTTTTGAGTATATCCGTTCTGAAACATACAAATAGTAAGTAGACTCTGATTTTCTGAAATAGTAGACTGTGATTTTATAGTATTTATAATTATGCCTTTAAAAAATTATCATGTGACAGTATCCTGTTGGTGGCAGTTAACACGTAGAATTTTAAAAAGTTTTATTAAAAACTGCATGTCAGCCAGGCGTGGTGTGGCTCATACCTGTAATCCTAGCCTTTGGAGAAGTTGAGGCAGAAGGATTGCTCGAGCCCAGGAGTTTGAGACCAGCCTGGGCAACATAGCAAGACCCTGTCTCTACAAAATAAAAAGAAAAATAAATGATCCAGGCATGGTAGTGCATGCTTGTTGTTGAAGCTATTCAGGAGCCTGAGTTGGGAGGATCACTTGAGCCCAGGAGATTGAGGCTGCACTGAGCCATGATCATGGCCTGCACTCAAGCCTGGGTGAGAAAGCAAGACCCTTTCTCAAAAGAAAAAAGCAGAAACAAGAAAAAACGGCATGTGGTCATGGTCTCTATTTGTACATTGTTTTTCATTGACATTTTCAAGGGGATTTATACCAATTTTCTTGGGAGAATTTTTGAGGTATTAAATTAGTTGAATATTCATGGCACTAAGGGAATTCACCATTCATATCAGAACATTTTTTTTTCTTCTGTGAATGCAAAGAATTACAAGTGTTCTGAACAAAATTGTTAAGCAGTTTATATATAAAATCAGCAGAGAGTACTAGCATGCGTCATTCTATTATAGAGAAGCTTTTACTCTAGTGAGATGATAATCTCTTAGAGGAAAAGAAAAGGCTGGAGAGGAGGCGGAATCTGCCAGCTTAAAGTCACAGCATCAAAATTCCTCAACTCCTCACTCCAGGTGAAGGGAGTCTGTGCAATACTGTCCAAAAAACCTCACTATCCCTGCGTCTTTCTTCCTCCGTGTGTTGAGGTTAAAAGGAATTCTGCCACTTCCACCTGCTTCTGTTGTTACACATATCGTTATTTTCCTACCTTATCCCAGCCCCCCAACTGCAAAACAAACTATCATTTATCACAATGCTTACCTGATCCCGAATGCTGAGATCTAGTATAGTTTTAAGCATCTACAAAAAAGACAAAAACATCCTTAGTCAAATGTCATCTGTTTTTATGTCTGGTATCAACTTTTTAAATTTATTTTGTAATTTCCATGTGTTTATTTATTCATTTTGAGACAGAGTATCGCTCTATCACCAGGCTGGAGTGCAGTGGCATGATCTTGGCTCACTGCAACCACCTCCTCCCAGGTTCAAGTGATCGCCTTGCCTCAGCCTCCTGAGTAGCTGGAACTACAGGCGCGCACCACCACGCCTGGCTAATTTTTTGCATTTTAGTAGAGACGGGGTTTCACCATATTGGCCAGGCTGGTCTTTTAACTCCTGACCTCAGGTGATCCACCTGCCCCAGCTTCCCAAAGTGCTGGGATTACAGGTATGAGCCACTGTGCCCGACCTTATTTTTATTTTTTTTTAAGAGATGGTGTCTCACTGTATCACTGGGCTGGAGTACGGTGGCACAATCACAGCTCACTGAAGCCTCAAGCTCCTGGGCTCAGGCAGTTTTTCCACCTCAGCCTCCCAAGTAGCTGGAACTGCGGGCACACTCCGCCATACCCAGCTATTTTTTTTACTTTTTGTAGAGATGGAGTCTCCCTATGTTGCCCAGGCTGGTCTGCATCCTCTGGTGTCAAGCAGTCCTACTGCTTTGGTCTTCCAAAGTGCTAGGATTACAGTCGTGAGCCACCAGCCCAGCCTGGCACCAACTTTTGAGAATTTAACATTCCAACTATTGGAAGAAAGGTAGAAGATTGCTAAAGGTCACAGTTAAGAGTTTTGTTTTGTTTCTTTTCTTTTTTTTTTTTTTTTTTTTTTTGGTATCAGAAATATGTCACACACCCAGTAGAACCCTCTGTGAATCTGTGCCAGGCCAGTGGGTTGGGATCGATTGGCAGGACAGAGCCCTTCCCTAGAAATGGCTGGCTGTGTTTCTGCAGTCCTTCAGCCTGAGTGCCACGCTGCTGGTCAGACACTCACGGCTTGCCGTGTTCATGTTTCCACCAGACAGAAACAGAGAAGACAAGCTGTAAAGAACAGTGGCTGGCCCAAGCGTGGTTGCTCATACCTGTAACCCCAACACTTTGGGAAGCCAAGGCATGTGGATCATCTGAGGTCAGGAGTTCGAGATCAGCCTGGCCAACATGATGAAACTAAAAATACAAAATTAGCAGGGCATGGTGGAGGGGCACCTGTAATCCTGGCTACCCAGGAGGATGAGGCACAAGAATCGCTTGAGCCTGGGAGGCAGAGGTTGCAGTGAGCTGAGATCCTGCCACTGTACTCCAGCCTGGGCAACTCCGTCTCCAAAAAAAAGAGAAAAGAATAATGGACTTAAAACTAAATACACTAAAATTGCCAAAATGATACCATATCCTCCTATATAAAAGCAATGTAAAGCATGGTTTAGATTACTATAAACAACACTGTGACACTTACAATTTAAGTCTAAAGACTTGCCTTAAAGATAAAATGAGACAGGTATAGGATGTGTATTAATTGTTTCAAAAGCCATGTGGATATGTACAGTTATTACAGATTCTATCTTTTTTAAAAAACAATTAATAAAGCTCACCCTTGGAAATTAATTATGAAAATGTGTGAAAATATAGTCACAAATTAGCAGATGATTGTTTATCTTGTTCCTTTTAAATTGTTCATCATTGCTATCATGCGTTTTAGACGGCACTCTAATTTTTCCTTAGTAAACAGGCAGCTATTTAGAGCTTGGTTTGTACAGTATCTTGAAAAAAGTCATTCTAATATGATAGTATACAGAAAAATACATGAACAAACTCCTAGCCATCTGGAATTGGAGGAAATTGTCTGTTTACTATTCTGATTAGCAATTTTTCATTTCCATAGTCCGTTTATAATTTATAGAGGATGAGAATATGTTGCACATGAGAGTGCTTTTAATTTTAAAAGATTAAATTGTGAGTTTATGGATTTTATATTATCTCAAAGTCATTATTAGGTAATTAATCACCATTATGCACTATTACAGACTATTTTAATTTATTCGAATGTGGTTAGGATTCTGGAGAAATGAGAGGTATTTATAACGTAATAGATGAATCTGTTCCTATCTGTCTTATTAGCACCCTGTTTTGGGGAGTTAGGATAGTCCAAGCAGTGTGTCTGCTAGCTTGCTTTTTCTGTGTGATTTCCTCATAGAGCCCTGGATTACTTTTTATCAAGCTGAGTCAACACTAAAAAGCTTCAGTAAGCTGGGTGTGGTGGCTCCTGCCTGTCATCCCAGAACTTTGGGAGGCCGAGGTGGTGAATCACTTGAGGCCAGGAGTTCAACACTAGCCCAGCCAACATGGTAAAACCCCGTCTCTACTCAAAATACAAAAATTAGCCGGGTGTGGTGGCAGGTGTGTGTAATCCCAGCTTCTTGGGAAGCTGAGGCAGGAAAATCCCGTGAACCCGGGAGGCAGAGGTTGCACTGAGTCAAGATGGTGCCACTGCACTCCAGCCTGGGTGACATACTGAAATTGTGTTTCAAAAAAAAAAAAAAAAAAAAAAGAGAATCTTCAGTAAGCACAAGAGAGCCATTGTCCCCTTTCTAGGGGAACCAGCTGGTTCTGTGAAGGCTGCTTTTGGGGGCATCTACATGATCCTCTGCTGGTGGTCACAAGAGACAGACTCCGCTAAGGCTGGGATCTGTTTTGAGTTCTCTTCCCTCCTTCTTGGGAGGGAGAAGAGGGTTGGTTACTTCGTGTATTTCAGTTTTTTGTCCTCCTGTCATTCTCCTGTAGTAGCTATCATCACCCCTTTGTCAAACATACTAGCCCAAAACATGGACTGTTAGCTGAATAAGACAGTAAATCAGACTCTAAGTCATTTAAAGAAAAAGTAACTACACAAATGCTGCTCTTGTGTTTCGCCAGATTAACACACAGAGATTTTTAGAATTAAGGGCCTCTTTATATGAATAGATAATGTACTATATTAGTATATCCTCAAATAATTGAGCCCAACTCAATTGTTTGAAGCAGCCATTTCATAATTAGGGTTTTTAAAATATTCTATCGAAAAGTATTATGCTAATTAGCAGGTACTTGGCTACGTTTTGAAAATGTTTTACATGTGGCAGCCTTCAGGGTGGGCAGTTTATTCGTGATATTCATGGTTTTTTAAAAAAAAGCGAATTTCATATTCAGTGCCTTCGTTTTAGATCTTCTCTTCTAAAACCTGTTTCTAATTCTCACTTCTTTGTCTCTTTTGTTTAAGCCGCATACATCCACTTTATTAAAAATAATCCTTATATATTTATCAGTGTCTGTGTGTTGCGGATGTGTGTTTCTTTTTAAATTACCATTAAGCATACTTTTGGCTTTTGCTCTTAAAATCCCTGTGAACCTCCTCCTCCTTCCCTCACCCCTTTTTTTTTCTAACCAGTTAACCCATTACTGAAATGAGAGCAATAAAGAACTAAAAAACTTAAACCGGAATGTTTTCATTCATGTCCGTGCTTGACTTTTATGGTGACCTTCCTCGGAGTACATCCTCAAGTTCTTCTGAGTCTAGGGCAGAGAAGATGGATGATCTGATTTATAAGCTCTAATGGACTCCAAGAGGAGATATGGATGCTTGAAACAAAACAGTGAATTCAATGTTTCAGTAGAATTAAAATACTGGGGATGACTTAGCTTCATGAAGACAGGAACTTGTTCCGTTAAGCAGGAGGGGTGTGGCCGGTAGGATGTTGAGGTATAGAGATTGCTGTCTTTGGAGTAACATTTTGGGCATTAATCACGTCCCATTCATCATTTCTCAGGTGGGAGCTGCTCTCTGTTCATCTTTTGTACCTTCCACAGGGGAACATGTTGGGTGGTGTCATTTAGTTGCCGGTTAACATAAAATGATGTGCTTGGTTGGGTCTTTAGCTCACATCCTACACACTCCTTTGTCTTTTTAAACTGTTGCTGAGTCATACAA